TTGTAATATTATGAGAATAACGTTGTAATATTATGAGAATAACGTTGTAATATTATGAGAAAAAATTTGTAATATGAGAATAAAGTTTTAATATTATGAGAATAACGTTGTAATATTATGAGAATAACGTTGTAATATTATGAGAATAAAGTTGTAATATTATGAGAATAAAGTTGTAACATTAGGAGAATAAAGTTGTAACATTAGGAGAATAAAGTTGTAATCTTATGAGAATTAAGTCATAATGTTATGAGAATAAAGTTATAATACTATGAGAATAAAGTTGTAATATTATGAAAATAAAGTTGTAATATGAAAATAAAGTTGTAATATTATGAGAATTAAGTCATAATGTTATGAGAATTAAGTCATAATGTTATGAGAATTAAGTCATAATGTTATGAGAACAAAGTTGTAATACCATAAAAATAAAGTTGTTAAATTATAAGAACCTTTACACCAAAAAGCAGTCTTACTGCTGCATTAAAATGAAGAATGTTGAGTAATTTGTGAAGTTGTTCTTTAGTATCAGTAAATAAATAGTTAATCTTTTAGCACATTAGCATCAGATTATCAGTAGCAGGACTTGGATTTTGTGCAAACAACATAATAAACTGAAGCTGTAGTATAATTAAGGGCTGCATTGACTGATTTAGTCATCAGGTAATTTGGATGAAAGCATTTTACATTAACAGTGACCTGATAGTCTCTGCAGACTACTTTATAAACACAGTGATACATGACTGTCCACAGCAGGTGTGAGGTAAATGAGGAGGGAATGAGTAACAAATTCAGGAACGGAAAATGGACCTGTCATGAGATTTTGACTTTTTCTTATATTATGACTTTGAACTTGTACGAATTTATTCTCATAATAATATGACTTTATTCTCATAATATAACGACTTTAATCTCGTAAAATTTTGCATTTATTCTCATAATATTATGACTTTAATCTTATAATATTACAAATGATAAATGACTTGAACTTATATAGCACTTCATCAAGTCCACATGAACCCCAAGGTGCTTTACACTACAGTCATTCACACACTGATGGTGGTAAGCTACACTGTAGCCACAGCCTCCCTGGGGCGCACTAACAGAGGCGAGGCTGCCATACACCGGCACCACCGGACCCTCTGACCACCAGCATGGCGGGTGAAGTGTCTTGCCCAAGGACACAACAACTGAAACGGCTGGACAGGGGATTGAACCGACGACATTCTGGTTCCAGGACGACTCCCCTAACCACTCTACCACAGTCGCCCTGTAGTATGACTTTGATTTCATAATATTGACTTTATTATTATAATATTGCAACTTCATTCTCATGACTTTGTTCTCATAATATTAGAACTTTAATCTCATGACTTTATTCTCATAATATTATGACTTTAATCTCATATTATGACTTTTTTCTCATAATTAAAAATAAATCTTGTTGTGTGGGCCTAATACTCCATCGTACCAAATAATGGAAATCAATGAGGTTATGGCAAAACAGATGAGAAAAGTCTGCCCTCTTCAGAGCTCTGTAGCTCTGATAAACATCACAATAGAAATTCCAAGTTTAAACAGGTCACACAAAGTTTAGCTTTATATAACTGAACTGGCATTTTGACATCATTCATGCTTTTCACATAATCACAATTAAATTTTTCTAATTTTTATGACAGTTGAAATGAACTGTCAAAATGTAGACTATCATGTCTTCTTGAAAAATTTGTTCCTCGCTGCTGTAGGATGGTTTTGTCTCAAATTTTCATGAAATCTCAATACATTTTCTTAAAAACTGGAAGTATCTTCAGAAAACACTGGTGTTTTTCTGCTCGTGGCTTAAAAACAACAAAGAATGACTCAGAGTTTCCACACAGTGACTGTTTGTTCAGGTTTACTGTTCAGACTGTGTTTTAGTTGCTTCTCATTAACTTGAAAGTCACAAAGTAACACAAGTGTGGTTAGCAGCAGCTTTAACATCTTTATTTTTCATGTCACATGCTGGCTTTTTGTCAGCTTAGATTATTACAACAGCTTTAAATGAGTGAAGCGTCAGAGTTGGTGGATCTAAATCTTTTTAAACCGTTTTCAGAAATGTTTTAAAATATTGCGAAATAACAAAACTTCTACAACCTCTCAAATTGTTACATAAGATGACACGACATTTTAGGTGAATTCAGTTTGTTTTAAAAAGAACAACAACCCTGAAAGGATGACTAACCATCATGTATTTTTAAGCATCATGACCAGTTCCTGTTAGTTCGAACACGTCCTGTGTTTGTCTTTACGTCAAATGAAAGCAGTCGTTCAATAAATCTGAGTTTCCCCTAAAAAAAAACCAGTTTTCGGTGATACCAGACACTGCTTTGTTGATCCTGATGTTTGTCACCTGGTTTCAGGGCAAGAACCTGATGGTCAGGTCATGAATATATG